TTATAAACAGAATTTAAACTGTTGAAATGAATGATATACTCCACCCAGGATTAAATGATGACACTGGTTTTAAGAGGGCTATCAACACAATCTGTACAAACACGCAGCTCATTTGTCTGACAAATATGTCCTCAGAGACAAAAGACAACCACATCTCACAGTAGTAGCTTTACAAACTAGCATCAGGAACTATAAAAATGTGAGGATCAAATAATTGAGAGATAATGAGGATGTTATGTAATTGTATTTCCAGTTATTCATTTGCCTTAGGATAAATAAAAATCAGCATTACATGAATGTGGGTTTGTGGTTGCAGACTTCTCATGTTGTTGTACCAGGCGGTGGTCACCAGGTGCTGATAAATGTGATTATTCCAAGTTCTATGTGTGATCCGTTTGATTACAGATTCAGACTTGTCAAGTCTGTGAGCTGCTGAGGACGAGACAAGCCCATTGTGCTGTGTCTCTTTTTATTTGCAGCTAATTACACCACTAATAACAACTAATGCTGAACAAAAGCTACAAATCCTCTGAGTCAAAATTAAAAAATTACAGAGATTAAGAACCACAGACACCAATTTTAATGTTACATAAGATTTTTTCCACTTCATTTGTCTCAACATGAAACTATAAAATGAGTTTATTACAGTTCCCTCACCATACGACTACTCTGAGTCATATTTTGACTGATCTTTGCATGCTTGAGTACTCTGTCATTGTCCTGCATTTGAGGTTTGAGTGCTCAGGAAATGTCTGTGTTCACTTACCCCATATACTTTACTGTATTTATTGACAGACACATAGACAGTTTTGAAAAGGAAGTCACTTTAATACTAAAATACCAGAAAATATCTATAAATTTAATGCTATACCTATACACAGGTTTCATCTTATTTGACAAATGCCCAACTGTGAATCCTATATAACTCCATTGTGCGGAGTTCTTGTATTCCCTATTTACAATGGCCTCTAAAGTGACTGGACAACACTACAAAGAACATTTTGACAAAGAATAGGCATGTGGTCATAATGTTATGCTCTCTTTCTGTATGTGTCAACGTGCAGTCGTGTTTTCTCATGCAGTACAATACTGTAACTACATACAGTGTTTAACAGCAGCAATTAGCTTAGATCTAATTGCTTGGTTTTGATTGCTCCACTCAGGTGCAGTTAAAAACCTACATTTTCTTACGTAAATTACAACACATTTGTATTGTGCCTGTATTTTAGTGTAGTGCGGTAAGTGCCAGTCTGAGTGTGGTACGGACAATTATGTGTTTACACGTGCAGCTCTATTGTCCCTTTGTGCCAGTGAGCAACGCAGCACACTGCAGAACAATGAGAGACGAAACCGCTCCTTGTCACATCGCCACAGCAGATAGCAAAGATGGGACAGAGGCAGGCACGTTACATTGACGCTCCTCGGGTGGATTTAGCCTCTCCCAGGACTATCTGTGCCCACCGCCTGGAGCACCCTGGCCATAGATTCTGCTGCCATCACCAGCACTACCAGACCTATCCAGAGAGGGTCTTGAGCTACTCCCCTCCCTATTCCCCCAGCCTGTTCAAGAGGCCCCCAGAGCGCCGGTGAGTGCGGGTCTAAGATAGCTACAGGGCTTGGGTGCACTTTATCAACTTTTAATCTAGAATGAGAATCATTTAATTCAATGATCAGCTTGGGTCTTTTTAATTGTGAAGTCTACAGCCAAGGAAAGCATTAGAGTAGAGTTCAGTAGAGTTGTGCATTAAATGACTTTGATTAAAGGTCTGTATTAATTACATTCAGGAAACTATTCTGAAACCCTTTTTTGTTTGTTTTTAATTAGACAAAATTACATGGAATCAAAAATGTACCATTAAGAGGAAAAAAGTGATATTTTTGCCCAACCCTACAAGCCTAACTAATTTACAACATTTACAACTATTCCTTATTTCTTGATATAACCATTCCTCAGGAGCTGTACAGAATTCTAAGTTGTGCAGTTTCCTATAGAACATGCACAGTGCAGAGTCAAACGCATTGCTTAACACAAAACCCACTAAATACTATCCATATCTCACAATGTCCCTCCTAGCAAAAGTGGGTACATTTCTGTGCTGTATTCTTGTGCAGTCTCCCTTGGTACAAGTGAATCACAGAGTTATATAAGGGCTGCTCTTGTGGGACATCTGATGAAAACTATGGCCCTCAGCCCGGTTCAGAATGACTCACCAAATCTGGCAACAGCAAAGGACAGGCAGTTTGTATTCCACTCAAATGTGGCACGACATAACTGCACCAAATGCAAAATAGCTTTCCTTTTTTTTGCAATTATTGGACAAATTTTTGTAAAAAAAAAAAAAAAAAAAAAATCCATGTTGACAACAACTGCAATCTAGAAACATCCCAAAACACTACAACCAGTTACAACCACTGTCACTACTATTATTCTTACTGCTGTTTCAACATTTGCAAAAAAATAAAATAAAAAATTTGAAAACAGGATTTCCATAGTGGGATAATAATACTGACCCATTTCCACGAGGCTGGTTTTGACTACACATAATGCAGTCTGAAAGAAACAGGAGATTATTATTATTATTACAACAGCAGATATCTGTCTCTATACAGTTACATTAGTTAGTCATGTTACTGTTTGTTGTGTTTAAGCAAATTAGTGTTTAAGTGGATACATCAAATACAAGGTAACACACGCTCCATGATCACGCTATATAACTGTCCAAATGTTAATTATTTATTAACTTTGTTTTATAATATAATTCTGAGTGTATGTGGTGAAAATCAACATTAAAGAATACATTTAGCTAATGCAATATTGCGTAGAACTGTGTGAGATGCTATCCCCTCAGCAGTACTGGCAGTTAGTATAGTAGTAGTACAATTTTTGAGTATTTCATAATAATGCGTTTTTAAATGCATTAGGACTATATGTATTTGCAGTACTCCTAATGTTGTGTTGGGGGAATATTTATGCACTTAAGTGCCACAAATGGAGAATAATGGAGAATATATGAACTCATTATCACAGTTTAATCTGATAATACTTCAGTAATGAGTGTGCAGGTCCCAGTGATTACATTAGTCTTTTGTCTAGTACTACAAAATGATTATGGTTCTTAGGAGCTTAAGTAGTTTACCTGTATGCACCAAAGCAGATTGCAGAATACAGTGCAGGGTGGTTGGGATCTCTTGAATTGAACTGAATCCAAATATAGCAGCACAATACATGCCTATGGCAGGGGTCCTTTGATGTTTACAGCTTATTAAACAGACCAACAGAATAGTTTGTACTCAATGGAAATGCGCTTTCGCCATATGCTTTCTAGTCCGCACAAACAAACTTCGTTTACCAGAACAGTTTCTGCTAGAAATTGGGGAGAAAGTGAACGGAAAATTCCCCCTGTAAACAACCTCGAGGAAAAGCGCTTTACCACCCGCGCAGTTGCATTCTACATAGTCGCCACTAGAGGCTGGTAGAGTTCTGGCTGAGGAAAGTTACCAGAATGAGGCTATGGAAAAATACACCCGCTGGTGTACACATGCACGTGGCCATATGGTGAAGGAACAATAACAAAAATGAGCCGGGGAACATCATGTTCAGAGAAGTAGGTTAATGAGAGCACGTACCGTTTAGTAGATAGGTCTACCCAACCCCTAAATAATCAGCACTGCAAATAATATAAAAATAGTAAAAGATACCTCTGTGAATCTCTGATATCATACGGTACATAGACTTAAGTGTAGTGTATTATATATTATAGTTTATTCATTTTTTGACTAGCGTTGCAACAGCAGTGCATCAGTAGATTTGCTGAAAGGAACTGCTTCTGTCAGTTTTGTTAAATCCTCTAAATGCTGAAACGCAGGACGTAGATAAGTGGATAGATATTACAGTAGAAAATGCACAGTATATTCAAATAAATGCACGTAGGCTGCAGTCTGTCCTGTTAAAATGGACAGCTGTTGTTGTGGCTGAGAGAACACTTTGTTATCGCCCTCCGGGCTTGTTATGTAAATGTTAAAAACGATATTAATCAGACTCCCAAATACTCGCCTACTCCTAATTCCAGTTTGTACCTTGATCACAGCAGTACTACAAGTCTATGTGTGACCCGGGGGCACATTTGCATAATGAGATGCGCGCGTCACTTGACGTCACTCCGCTCCTTTCATATAGCGGGCGCTGGCAGAAATAGCAACAGACAGACGCTTGTACAAAGCGAGGCGAAGCTCACTACTCTGACACAGCACTGCACTCAGCCTACGGCTTTGAGGTAGTGCATCGCGATCAACCAGCGAGACAACAAACCCGCTTTATCTTCACTTAGGTGACCCGCCAGCTGCAAACGTGGCGAAAAGTTACTTCCAGACGAGTCTAGTACTCAACATGAGCACAGAGATGTTCGCTAAGACACCAATGGAAGTGGCCGTCTACCAGTTGCATAACTTCTCGATCTCTTTCTTCTCCTCGCTACTCGGAGGGGATGTAGTATCGGTCAAACTTGACAACAGGTAAATATTTTATTATGAATGAATTTGATGCGCTGCACTGGGCTGTGTTATACTAGGTCTGTAGACTGTTACAACACGTGAATGCTTTGTTTTCCAAGCGTCTTCTGCTGCTCTGTAGTAGTATTATTTTACACTCTCATATCTTAAGAAACAATTGTCGTGTTGATGTTAATGTCTATTGCTTGTTGCCTCATGCCCTTGTAAGGTATTTGTCAGACGTGCGTGGAGCTGCACTTTGAACGCTTTCAACAGATATTGAGATCTTTTGACAGGGCCAGTGTGCCAATGCCCCATTTTCTCTAATCCCCTTTGCAATGCAGTTATTCTATAGGCAAATGGCACTATAGGATTTGTACCACCAAAATGGAGAAATTGTATATTTTTACTTTCAGTTTACTGCCAGTGCACAGAGACCAGTGAATATGCATTTGACTGAAGAGGTTTTGTCACTGAATAGGTAATTAATGTTGTTTTTTTCTTTCTTACAGTGCCTCTGGTGCTAGCGTTGTGGCCATTGACAACAAGATTGAACAAGCAATGGTAAGTTAGTATGAATAAATTCTGCCTTACACATGCACAACAGCACTGTAGCACATTAATGCATTCTCATAGACCTTATGTGTTTAATATCACAGTTATTTTTACATATACTGTAATGTTTCTTCTGATGAAATCAATGTGGTATTTTAGGCTAGAGGGCAAGTTATAAAACTAATTCTCCAAATGCTTGGACAGCGTGGTGCAAGTGGTGTCAGGAAGCTCACAAAGACATACTCATTACAAGTCTGTCAAGAATGATTGAAAATACCTTGAGGTCAAACACACCATTTTATCACTGGAGACCCTTTAGTGCTTATTCAAATTGAGTAGTAGTACTAGTTGACAACTAATTATTATTTCAGCATGCGTTTCCAGTCTTAACCGTCCTCTCTTTCTGCAGGACCTTGTGAAAAACCACCTGATGTACGCAGTCCGAGAGGAAGTGGAGATCCTCAAGGAGCAGATCAAGGAGCTGGCTGAGAAAAACAACCAGCTGGAGAGGGAGAACTACCTACTGAAGAACCTGGCTAGCCCCGAACAGCTTGAGAAATTTCAATCTCGCATCCCTACAGACGTTCAGTTGGACAATCAAAGCATGCAGGTGAACACGGAGCACCAGCAGCTTCAGATGTGTACCCACAGCTCTGGCTCTGCTGTATAAGTGGCTCTGCTTTGGGGCGAGCAGAGCCGTCGCGTACAGTAATGGACCTCCATGTTTTGATGATGAATCCTTCCATAGGTGAAGGCAATGCATCTTGTAATTGCTAGATGGGACTTAAACGAACTGTTGATAAGCACAGGACTCGAGATGCTCTGAGTTAGGCGCGGTGGATACCTAGTCTCTCTTATTAGACTAGTTCAGCACTTTGTCCAGACAGAGAGGGGGACCCTCCTTGACCTGCCTATAGCCGGACCGTCTCTAAAGTAAACCAAGAGAAGGGTCCTGACTGGGCTGGCCCTGCTGACATCATCTTGGAATGTGGGTGATCACTGGTAGAGGAGTACAAAGCGAGATGGTCCTCCATGTTTCTGAAGAAGAGCCCCGATATGTGGATCAAAAATACAAGTGTCATGGACTGTCATTACATTTCATTACAAAGATGTACACTATAACTGCTATCTGCTTCATTTAATCATGGTAATTGACATGCTAACAACACAGAGGTGGAGGCTGCCTTCATTAATCTCCATAATGAGTGACACAGTGTAATCTTGTATTGTCTGCAGTTGGGGCTTGCTGCTTATGGGGGAAGTAATACTGCTATTTTTTCATGTTTTGTAAAGAAAAATCGGTTGTTGTAAATTGTAAAGATCTCTGGGAACAATAGGCCTATCTGTCCATTCTGTCTGCCTATAAATCTCAATTGTAAAAGGTTACTACAATGTATATAATGATGAAACGTCCTGATCAAATAGAAGCTAGTGAGAAGTTACTATGTCAGATGCACTCCTGATTGTTGTATGCGTCTGTATTGATAACGATGGCATGACAACAGTGCCTGTAGTAGCAGAAGAGGGAGATTTTCACACTGAAATCTGTTGTTGTTCGCTAGCTACCAAAGACTGTTAATTATTTTTACGATGACAGATACAACCCAGGACCATGTGTATAAAATCACAGGGAGAAGTGAGAAATTTTCTATGTTTTTTGGTAAAGATAATGGTGATGTTGCTCTGAAGTATCCAATGTTTGGATACAGCTGCACAATGGCAATAAACCTTATGTTTACATGATACATCTTTGTTTACTGTTTGTTATTGTTTTCATAATTGTCAGATAACTTCTCACATTTAAATTCTCACATTTCATAGAATTTAAGTAACAATTATTAAACCTATTGACAATTGATAAAACATAGCATGGTAATATAACAGACCAGAATTTTTAGCACTATCGGAAGTTGTCCTAAATTGTTAGATTATTAGATGCACCACAAGTGGTGATAATTGTAGGTAATGTTATAAGTTATAAGAAAGGGTAGGCATAATAAGCTTAAGCTTCAGCCTGCACCTTTTCGGTCTGTATATGTTAAATATGACTGTTTATGAATTAATGTCAAAATATACCTGTGACCGAAATAAATAAACTGAAATGAAATGAAAATGAATAAAGTTTGCATAGTCACACTTACACAGCACTTTACAGAATAAAGGAGGGACTGGTTAGCCAAGTAGACAGCCAGTAATTATTGTACTTTTTACAACAACTCATGACAGATTCCCAATATGTGAACTCAGATTATTTGCATTTCACTGACATAGTCTGGTTTTTCATAACAAAACTAAGGTGAAATGAGTTTAACGTGTTGATAATTGATACAACACAACAATGATAATATAAAAGACTGGACCTTTCACTACTTGTACAAGTACCTTTGCTACTTGTACTAATAAAGAATGAATAAATACTGTATTTTATTACTGTAATTTGTTAGCTGCAGCTAGAACTGCAGTATAACACTTCTACTAAAACAAATAATGTAAATCTAAAATACCAAATAGAAGCAATCAACTTTTCAATGTTTGCAAGTAAAGTAACTGCTCAATTTAAAATAAAGTACTATCCCTCCATTCTAAGTACTATAACCCTGAAAGAAAGCATTTGTTGTGCTTCTCAAACATGAGTTCAAACAGCTCAGGTAAATATTTTATCAACACCAGCATGTAGTGTTCATTGTTTTCATCAGAATGACATGATGCTCTGATTTGAATCTTTACAGAGGATTCTGCCTTGCTTTCTACAAGGTCTCTTTGACTAAAGTTTACAAATTTAAATTTGCATCTGGGCACCATAAAAGGATGCTTTTAATTTCAAAAGGTCCCTCCTTAGGCAATGGAAATAAATGAAAATAACACAGTGCGATGGAAAAAACTTTTCCAAATTCAAAAAGTAGGTGACCACTAATAACAGTGAAACTATAAGAGGCATATAGAGTACATTGGAAAATGAAAAACAGTTGGTAGCATTTCAGATGGTTTTGGCAGACAGTCAGTAGTCTGCGTGTAACCAGATATGTTGTGGCTTCCCCATAGAGCAGAGCAGATTTTGGACAGAATACTGCTGGACACCTACAGACCCATAATTCAGTGCCAGTACATTCAGTATTCCCCCCACTGCTTTGGGCCCTCTCTTACATCACAACTCAGACTTCCTGTTGTTCCAGATCATAATAACAGGAACAATGGGAAGAAAACTTTGAATTGAAATATCCTTGGGTTCGGCAGACAGAGGAAGAATCTGAAAATTGGAATCTAAAGTAAAGTTTTTTGCAAACTAGTCTCACATGTAATGGGCACAGTACACAGCTCAAAGTGCAAACAAACAAACAAACAAACAAACAAACAAAAAATGATGGAAAGATATGATATCATTGTTTCTCACCAAGTACCAAGCAACATCATATTTGGCTTTCTGAGCCCAGCCAGACTACTGAATCTGAACATGGAAACTGAACCAACCAGGTCTGAAATGAGACCAAACCATGGATAAGGCCTGTTTGAATAATGATTCATTCACAGACAAAAATGTGTATCTAAATTAAACAATTGCTAAAAATGTATTCAGCCCCTGCATATATCAGCCCTGACTAGCACCCTTGCCTCACAGTAGGAAGGTTCTGGGTTCAGTTCCCACGTACCAGTGAGTTGAGCTTGTCTGCATGGGTTTCTGCTGGGTACTCCAAACTTCTCCATCAACCCAAAACATGCACAAGAGATACAATTCTCCAGCTAAGGTAGTCCAGACCAAGACCAGCCTTAGATCTGGAGTCCTTGAGCAGTCCCCATTCAGCTACCATGTAGGATGGGTCAAATGCAGAGGACAAATTGCCCTATGGGGACAATATAATGAACCTTAACCAGAGTCAGTCTGTGTGCTGCCAGTGGCACACGCAGTACAGTTTGAAAAACACTGTCTTATTATAGCAGTAATAATTGTTAATGTTTTAGGGAGTAATAATACAATTTTATTGTTGCACCCAGATTTTTTTTTTTTTAAATTGAGAGTACTTCTGTTAATTATCACTCTATTAAAGCTACTGCTTTTAATGACAGGTTTGAAATGTTATGCAAATACAGCACACATGACAGCTCTGTATCATCTTACACGTGAGTCTGGGGCTGTCTGATTTATGATTTTGTTCTGAAACTCTGTTGTTCTATTTCAGGATTGGGTTAGATGCATGTGCTCTTGAGTTCATCTTCTGCATGTGGCTTCCATCTGAAAACAACACAGTCGAAAACACCCTCCAGGTCATGCTTAATAACTGCAACTAATTAAGAAGAGACAAGAAAAGCTGTCTGGTTGGTCTATTTGTTATTGTATCAGTATATATTTAAAAGTAGAATAAAAAAAAGTAAATCTCCAAATTAGGTAATGACTTAACTAAAATACACTCTGGTTTGAGCATGTTTATTAATTTAATCTCTAAACGTATGGCCTTGTTCAAGTAAGAAATATTTCTAGCCAGGGTGTTACTTTTCATTACCATTATAGAACCATGTCCATATAAGGTTTTCCCCAGAGACAAGAATCATGCCCTGTCTTTTCATTAAGAATGTGAAGTGTGGGAATATCCAAAGGTGGGGAAAAAGTGGCGGATTCTTCCAGTGAGTAAAGTTTGTCTTGGATTAAGTGTTATGCAACGACAAAACATCTGGTTTGGATGAGACATTGGAGCTGTACTGGAAAAAGCGTGCAGGGCTTAAATGTGGTCAGCATTGCATGCACTAGTATAATTTGGTCTGACTGCTTGTCATGCACATATGTACTTTGTTTATCCCCTCATAGCTGGCTCAACCCAAATATGTCAACCTAAAGCAGGCTAAGAGACACAAATGCTATAACTGTATTGCTTGCTACTTTGTCTAGAAATATTATAATGATTTGGAAATTGTGCATGGTAAATTACATAAGAGGAAAAAAAAGAACATTCTTTAATAGAAAATATCCTTCAAGGCATAAAAATAGCACTGGGCTGAACAGAAACATATTGGTTTGAGATTGATCTGTTTGGGATTTCCTTACAGGCTGTGCCAAAATAAAGAATGGAAAAATGAAGTGAATAAAAACAAGATACATGAAATCTTCTGTCTGTATAAAGCTGTGGAGATGCTACAGGCTGCTCATCTATCATTAGAACCACTGTGGGGTAATGGTCATGAGCGTCACTCATTGCCATTTCCACTCATTAAAGGTCTGTCTCTGTCCGTCAAGTTGATGTGTGTTTTTGTTTTTTATGTCACTTCTCAGAATGTTCAGTCCAAAAGTCTTGATCAATATGCAGTATGGACTTTGTAAACCACACAAAAATGTCACTTTAAAGGCACTGCACATGTCTATCAAACAGCATTAGACTCACATTTAGTTCACATTTCATGTGGAAAAACAGCATTCCTCAGATTAAACTTACGTCACACATGTACTATTGTGAGTTATTTCACCTCAAGGAGATGTTTAGTCTAGTCTTTGGTTTTACATTTTGTACTTTATTTTTGAGCAAATCATTTTCACCTTGACTTATAAACGATGAATTAACTCATGAGTTAATTCTTGGTAGTTTTGTTCAAGTCAAGACTTTACCATAGCATTTAATTTGATGTGTGGCATTACTGAACTGTGGTAGCCATCAGATACAGATTGGTCTGCAGGACCTCATGTGATAAGACAGGTGTACAGTGCAGAATTAGTTATGGCACTTAGTGCAGATCTGGAAAAACAAATGGTCTAATCCTGCGGCACGATAATGCTTGAATACTTAATCCTTTAGTGGGTTATTTAAATGTTTGATTGGCAGATGACACTTTTTGCAGTGTGAGAGGGAAAATACTGAAGCTTTGTTTGCATACGATCTGATGGAGTACAGAAATGTGGCTGACCAGAACATCTTATTCCTGAAGACAAAAGGTCATGACCTTTGGGGTTTGGGTTTATGGTGATACTCCAGTTCCTGGTACAGCCCAGCAGGAGTCCAGACACTCTTTAAAGTTCCGCAGGCACCCACAGGAGCATGTGACATCACAGGGTCATAGGGCACACATAGTTGCATAACCAGAAAATGAAAGAAATCTAACCTGCAATTCCAATACATTTCATATGACAATTTAGCCATCAGATGCAAAGACTGCAGGCTTTTCGAAGTCTGTGTATTATTCATGGTATATACAGTCCATCACCATCTCATGGTGTGTTTCTAAGTAAAAGTTTGGTTGACCTCATAAAGGTGTTGTTGTTGACATATCTCATTACTGTAATAGACCTACAAACCTGCTGAAGCACTTGCAGTAAAAAGATGTTGTAAAACTTCCACCTTTAAGATGTATTTGATATTTGTCCTGCACTACAAATAGAAAACACAAGTTTATGGCACATAGAGGTAAAGAGTTTATGTAAGGCTTCATTGTGGTGCGTTTGAGTGACTGTGGCCTTTAGAGTGGGAATCAGGTTCAACCTCTCCTCTTTAGCTTTGTGTCAAGCAAGAATCAGAGGATGTTAGTACAAATAAACTCCAAACACATACCAAAATAAAAATGTTATATAGACAGTTAATAAATTATAGCCTCTTTGCAAAGTCTGTTCTGTTAATCTGTTTTATAGTTTGTGCATTGTACTGGCTGCATCATAAAAAAGTGAGATTAACACTGTGAGAGCTTCTTTGTACAACACACAACTGATTTCTGCCTCATAAAACAGTTCAGGTTTTTTCTACATAAGCAACATTGTTTACATGATCAAATC